CCACTGTTCTTTTTTAAGGATTTATTTATTTTTATTGGAAAGTCAGATATACAGAGAGGAGAGACAGCAAGGAAGGTCTTCCATCTGATGATTCACTCCCCAAGTAGCTGCACTGGCTGGTGCTGAACCGATCCAAAGCCAGGAGCCAGGAGCTTCTTCCCGGTCTCCTATGTGGGCGCAGGGTCCCAAGGCTTTGGGCCGTCCTCGACTGCTTTCCCAGGACACAAGCAGGGAGCTGGATGGGAAGCGGGGCAGTCGGGACACAAACTGGCACCCATACAGGATTCCGGTGTGTGAAAGATGAGGACTTTAGCTGCTGGGCTACCACGCTGGGCCCTGTGTCCATTTTTCATGGCTGCACCAATTTCAGTTTTCCAAAAAAAAAAAATCTCGCTGTTCAACCCACTCATACACTTCAGATGTACCTAAGATTTTACTATCATAAATAAAGGGGCAGTGAAACTCCTTCCACATACATTCTGGCATCATTTCTCAAGTAAATCAGTAATGATGAGTGTGAAACAGCAGAAACGCTTGGACAAGGATTACAGATCCTTACAATCCAGGTAAAAGATGCCAGATTTTCCTTGCACGTCCATCATGTGTGCTGTGCTGGCTCCTCACGTTCTTAACAGCACCAGAAACCATTTTTGCTAATCCGTTCTGGGGAATCACATATCTAATGATTGGGTTTTGACTGGTTTATTTGAAAGGCAGAGAGAGAGAGAGAGAGAGAGAGACCTCCCACATGGCCACACAGCTAGGGTTGGGCCAGGCCAGAGACGGCAGCCAGGAACTCAAGCCAAGTTTCCCACGTGGGTGGAAGCGATCCCACGAGGCCAAGTGCCTGGCTCTGCTTTCATCTCTGTATCTTTAACCAGAAGTAAGGCTTTGCATCTTCCTGCTGCCATCGACCCATCCTGCTTGTGAGAGCTACACGTTTCCACTGTAGTATTATTTTTCTTCTTCATTTTTACACACTGTTTGTCAATAAGTCCTTGGTTGTAGGTATTTCAAACACCTTCCTCTTTTGTGCAAAGCAGGTTTAAAGAACATTCATGCAATGGCATTGTTCATCTTTCATGCCTTCTAAAGCGTGTGTTCCTACGCGGAAAGGGCCCGCCAAGACAGCTAATTAATCCTCAGATGTTTTCTCTTTATACCTTGATAGTTTCATTTTTTAGCACTCGAGTCTTTAATCCATGTAGATTTTCTTTTTTTAAGCTAATGATCTTTAACTTTTTTTTTTTTTTAATCTGTGGGGTTGGTGGTAGCAGAGCGAGGCAGGCTCTCGCTCGAGACGCCAGCCACCCACATCAGAGCACTGGTGTGGGTCTTGCGGCTCTGCTTCTGATTTTGCTCCTGGGAAGAGGAAGACGGAGCAGCACTTGGGCCCCTGCCTCTTGCACGGGGAGTCCAGGATGGAATTGCACGTTCCTGGCTTTGACCCCGAGCCTGGTCCAGGCTTGAGTGTTGAGGTCATTTGGAGATTTGGAGAGTAGGCCAGCAGATGGAAGATCTTTTTTTCTCTCTCTCTCTCTGTCTCTCTTCCTCTGCCTTTCAAGTAAAAAGCAAATCTTAAAAATCAAATATATATGTTTCTATGTATGTGTTTGAGATCCAGCATGCTGCTTCACTCCCTGTGTGCCTACAATAGTTGAGGCTGGGTCCTTAAGTGTTTACAACAGCTGGGGCTCAGCCAGGGCCAGAACCAGGAGGAAGGAACTCAAGGTCTACACGTATCTTAGCAGGAGGATCGGGGCAAGAGAGCTGGAGCAGGGACTCAAGCACAGATACTCTGAGATGCAGGCTTTGTGTGTGTGTGTGTGTGTGGGGGGGAGCTTTATTTATTTGAAAGGCAGAATTAGAGAATCTTCCACCGCCTGGTTCACTCCCAGATGGTCACAAAACTAGGAAGCCGGAACTCCATCCGACAGAAGTTTGACCCACCTCACCACACTACGGTTTCAGGATGCAGGCAGCTTAATCAGCGTCACCTGTTAGGCGACACACCAGCCCTGGGATTGGCAAAGAAGTGCACACCGTGGGCCTTGGAAGCTGCTCAGTAGCATTGCCGGCCTCGGCCACTAGGTGTCAGTAACGCCTTCCAGTGGTAGGAAGCCAACCGCGTCCCCTGTTGCCTGGGTTGGAGGGCTGGGGTCCAAACCTGGCACGCCGCGCCCCCCTCACTCCTGAGAACCACTGTCTCACACACACTGTGGTTTCATTCACGCTTCCACCCCGCTCCCAACTGTATTTGAAATGAGAGACAAATGAATGGATAATTTAGACACTTTTGTTCCATTGAATCTTATGCTTTTAAATCTGACCTTAATTGTATTTTATCTTTCTATTCCAAATGGTATACACACTTGTCTTTCAAAAGTATTTTATGATTTTTTTTTTTGTAATACAGTATCTTGGTCTACTTCTGGCTCCTATATCTTTTTCATTACATTAGAAAGGAGACCATTGAACTGTCACTGAGAAGAAAGCTGCTGATATGCCATATTTTTCAGTTAGCCATACACAAAATTATTATTGTCCTGAAAAGATATTCGGGATGTTTGACATTTCTTAACAATGACACAAAATTCAGCGCATTTGAGGCATGCGATGGTGCTACGTGTCTAGAGTCACCATTTTATTCCACTTCTAGCATTTATATGCTTTTTTTAAAGGTTTATTAATTTTTTTATTGGAAAGTCAGACACAGAGAGGAGGAGAGGCAGAGAAGAAGACGCTCCGTTCGGTGGTTCACTCCCCAAGTGGCTGCACCGGCCGGAGCTGAGCAGATCCGAAGCCAGGAGCCTCTTATGGGTCTCCCAAACAGGTGCAGGGTCCCAAGGCTTTGGGCCGTCCTCGACTGCTTTCCCAGGCCACAGGCAGGGAGCTGGATGGGAAGCGGGACTGCCGGGATTAGAACCTGTGCCCACATGGGATCCTGGCACATGCAAAGCGAGGATTTTAAGCTACTAGGCTACCACGTTGGGCCCTATTTTATATATTTTTATCTCTGTCTCTTGTCTAATGGCCTTGGGTAATACTTGAGGAAATTTTGCATAACAGTGGTGATTTTTTTTTTCTTAAGACTTATTTGAAAGACCACTGGATGCAGGGTCCTTCTATTGCTTTTCCAGGTGCAGTAGCAGGGAGCTGGACTGGAAGTGGGGCAGCGGGGACTTGGACCAGTGCCTACATGGGATGGTAACATCATTGCACCATCATGCCAGTCACAGACCTAAGCCATGCTTGACTGATGCGAACACTCCTAGGGTGTCACCATTAAACACGATGCTACCTTTGATTTGAAAGACTACACACATTTTCTATCATCCAAGAAATCTTCAGATTTTTATAGTCTACTGAGAGCTTGCTGATAAAGCGGGAAGTGTTTATTTGTGTCAAATGCAGCATCCATATCAATTAAAACAAACGTGGTTTTCTTTGGCCTATTAGCAGTACAGGATAGATTATGTTGCTAGATTTCCTGATACTTTTCAATTCTTGGGTGGCGTAAATCCACTTGGTTACGATGTGCTTTACTAATTATCTTAATAGCTTCGTTAGTATTTGTTAGTATCTCACATATTTGCATCAATAACTGAAGGTTAAATCAGTCTGTGGGTTTTAAAAAAATACTCGTTCATTTTATTATATGAAAGAGTGGACACAGAGAGAGACACAAAGAGAACAAGAGAGATTCAGTCTGCTAGTTCACTCCCCAAATGCCTGCAACACCCCCAGACGGGGCCAGCGTAAGCTGGAGCTGGAACCTCGATCCAGCAAGGACCCCGAGTCAGTCCCACCACCTGCTAGGGTCCGGCAGGAATCAGAGTCAGAACCTGGAATGGGAATCAAACCCAGGTTCTCCAGCATGGGATGTGAGCATCTTAACCACTAGGTCGCTCCCTGGAGTTCATCCATAAAACAGTAAAACCAGTACATAGGAACAGACAGTGGCCCCATATAACCACTTATGGCCACACAGAACCTTCACAGATGCAACTTCTGAAAACTGAACAAATTCAAAATATATCTTTGGAAAGGCAGAGTGCGATGTTTTATGAAAGGTACAGATATCCATATAAAACATTTCGATGCCTATTAGATATTAGTAATGATATATTTTTCGCTATTTTCTCATCTTAAGCAATTCAGGAATACACTGACAGCTTGGAAGTCAGACCATGGAAAAGCCTGGCTCCTCAGCTATAAGCTCAAAATAAGAACGACATGAATTATTTGAAGGGCCAGTGTTACGCTGTGGCCTGTGAGGTTAGCGTCCCTTTTGGAGCTCCAGTTTGACTGAGTCTTGCCTGCGCTGCTTCCAATCCAGCTCTCCGCTCACGGGCCTGGGAAGGCAGTGAAGATGGCCCAGGGACGTGTGGGAGACGAGGATAGAGTTTCTGAGTTGTACTTCTAGCCTGGCCCAGCCCTCCCAGTAATTCTTTAAAATAAATAAAATAGATCTTTAACAAAAAAATCTGAATTGTTTAGTCATCTGTGTTTCCTAGGCACTGAACTCACATATAGAATGGTTTAAGAACCCGCTTCTGATCCTCAAAGCATGAGTGACCCTGAGAAAGTCCACAGGTTTCAATGGCCACGGCCACCTGAGTGTCGGCCCGGTCACCAGGGCTGAGAGCAGGGAGGACTTTTCCATTCTCCCTAGGAGTCAAGACAGATCCTGCACCCTGCCTCCTCTGCCAGGGACCCATAGAGTTCACCTGTCTGCCTAACATATTTCACATCAGGGTGGCCCTGGAACCCTCTGGAACATCCACTGCCCTGCCTGGATATCAAAAGAGACACACACACACACAGTGGGACGGAGGGCAGCCAATCACAACACTGGGTCCTCATCACCTTGTTTCTCATCTGCCTCCGCTCCCTCTAGAATGTGCCTCACACTGGTCCTGGCCGGGGAAGGGCTCCACAGCATCCGATGAGGGGGCAGGGAGGGAGAGCGGATCGCTGGGGCGCCTTGGCCGGCCTACCTGGGTGGCTCCTCAGCCGGCTCTCGGCCAGCTCCGAGATGGCTCCGGACGTCGCGGTCTTCTTCAGTCTAACGGCCCCAGAAGTGCTGCCTCCTGCTGGCTTGTTGAGCATGTCCTCGCTACTGGCTCTCTTGAGCTGAGAGAGAGAGAGAGAGAGAGAGAGAGAGATAAAGAGACAAGCTTCCAGCAGGGAGTGCTGCCAGCCCACCAAGCCTTGGCACAGCCCTCTCCCCCTGTGCCCAATGGTTAAGACATGACAGTGGCCCTAGGGGCACCATGGGACTGTGTGCTGAAAAAAAGTGGTAAATCTGGACAAACATGTTCCTGCCATGAACATGTCTGGGAGCGAACGGAACTATATCGGAACACGCTTCAAGGATATGACCCAAGACCCCCAGTGGGTTGCCTGAAACAAGCTAGCCCCGAGCTCTGCATATGCCACGTGGATACCGACAATCAAGTTTAATTTATAAATGAGGCACCGTAAGAGATCATCATCAATAGGAGAATCATAACAAAATTGTGCAAATGTAGTCCCCCCTTTCCTTACTGCCCTCAGAGAAGAGCTGATTCAGGGCCTGCATGAGCTGATCCAGTGAGCTGAACGGTGCAGGCACTGCGTCCTAGCAGTGGTGGCTAAGTGAGGGTTGCTTGCACACACTAACACAATGCTATGTCAATGGTGAATCTGGTAACCAAGTGACTGACGCGTGGGGAGCATCTGCAGCGTGAGACCCGGGACCCAGCAATGATGCACATCCCAGCTGGGGCAGAGACGGAAACTTGCCCCTGAATGTTTTCGGACCGGGGTGGATCACAAGTAAATGAAATGGTGGAAAGCGAAACTGTGGGTAAGAGGAGACTCCTGTAACGAGTTTCGAAAGAAGTCTGCTTTCTTGGTGCGAGGAAGGGTGGGGGAAGAATGAGAGCTGTTAAAGAGAACCGTGAGGTGCATGCCGGCAGAGAGAAGCGACGCCCACAGGCAGGTTTGATGACGTCTGTGAGGACAGAGTGCTTGAAGGCGAGCACTCAGCGTGTCATCTCACATTGAGAAGTATGCTTCAGACACGCTCAAAGGCGTCTGAAATTTAGTGTATTTATTTGCACCGTAGAGAGACACAGAGAGAAGGAGAGACACAAAGAGAGAGATCTTCCATTTACCGGTCCCCTCCCACCCCGCCACATGGCTGTGATGGTTGGGGCTGAGCCAGGCCAGAGCCAGGAGCCGGAAACGATAACCAGGTCTCCCCCCACAAGTGGCAGAAGCTCAAGTTCATGGGCATCTTCAGCTGCTCTCCTTAGGGGCGTGGACGAGGAGCGGAGCAGGCAGGATGGGGACTGGCAGTTCTAGGCTGAGGCTTAACTGGCTGCAACACAGTGCATGCCCCTGAAAACTTTCTTGGAGGCCAGAAAAAAAAACCACAGTCAGCAGATGGTAGAAAGACAGGCGTGTGTGTGTGTGTGTGTGTGAGATCTTCCCCGTCATGAGAAGGGTAGGACAAAGTGTTGAGAGGCAGCAAAGTCTGAGAAGCAGGACTGCAAAACGAGCAGACATTCCTGGCCCAGGCAGATCACAGTCAGAGTAAACAGAGAAAACCCATAAAGAAAACCCTCTCGGCCACACTGAAGTCTTCACTATGGCTTCAATCTACTCTGTCCCCCCAGGCGTGGGCGCTGGAAGTTTGGTCCCCATTGTAACGACGCTAACAGGTGATGGGACCTTGAAGAGGTGAAAGGGCCTGGTGGGAGGCGGGCTGGTCCAGACCCGTCCTGTAAAGGGATTACTGCTGGTCTCACAGGAATAGACCAGCTTCCACGAGAGTGCGTTGTCCTGAAACGGGAAGGCAAGGTCCTCCCATGGTCTGCTTGTCTGCTCCGACATGTGCCCCTGCTGCGCCTCGCCAGCTGTCTCCCCACAGCCGGACTCCGGCATCATGCTGTTTGGAACCGAGCAGTCATTGTATCTCTCCTTTCTTTACAACATAACCAGCATCAGGTAGTCTGTTGTGGTTAACACAAAAGGACAAAATCAATCTGCAGAATACTCCATAAGATCAGGAACAAGTGCCAGAAGACTGGAGACAGGCAGATGCTCAGAGCCATTACTAACACCTCTGTATTAAAAACAGCATGGGGCCCGGTGCAGTGACCTAGTGGCTGAGGTCCTTGCCTCGAATGCGCCAGGATCCCATATGGGTGCCGGTTCTGATCCCGGCAGCTCCACTTCCCGTCCAGCTCCCTGCTTGTGGCCTGGGAAAGCAGTGGACGACGGCCCAAAGCCTTGGGACCCTGTACTCGTGTGGGAGACCCGGAAGAGTTTCCTGGTTCCTGGCTTCGGATTGGTGCAGCGCCAGCTGTTGCGCTCACTTGGGGCACGTGTAAGGCGTGTAAGGTGACAACTTTAACCACTACGCTATCGCGCCGGCCCAAGGTGTAGGATTTTTAAAGTTTCTTTATTCTTTTTTTCTTGAAAGGCACAGAGAGACTGAGAGGGTGAGTGAGAACTTCCATTCTCTGGTTCATTCCCCTAAAGCCTACCACAGCTGGGGCTGGGTCAGTTCAAGGTCAGCAGCCAGGACTCTTCCTGGCTCACTCACATGGGTGGCAGGAACCCCCAAGCAAGTCCTCGGGTTACCATCTGCTGATTCTTAAGTGTGTATTAGCAGAAAGCTGGAACAGAGGTAGAGCTGAGAGTCAGTGTGAGGGCACCCCAAGTGGTGGCTTAACCCACTGTACCAAATGCCCACCCCTACACAGCTATAGCTTTATGTTAAAAAGAAAAAAACCCGCATTAAGTGGGGGCAGCATTTGTTCTAGAAGATGCCCACATCGCATATCACATGCTTGTGTTTAAGCTGCAGCTCTGCTCCCAATTCCAGCTCCCTGTGCAGGCAGGTCCTAGGAGGCGGCAGGTAATACTGCAAGTGGTTCGGTCTCTGCCACTCACACAAGAGTCCTGGATTTTGTTCCCAGTTCATGGCTTTGGGCCAACCCAGTCGTGGCCACTGTGGGCATCTGGGGAGGGAACCAGTGCATGGAAGCTCTGTGTGAGTCTGCCCAAGAAAAACGTACATGTGCTATACAGCCAAGATCAAGACTTGACCTATATAAAGCGTGTCGTGCTTTGGGAAATAAGAAAAGGAAATTTGCGGTTGGGGAAGTTGCCATGCAAGCAAAGCCCTGGGCTAATTCCTCCAAAGGTTGGGCTGCTTTTCAAAAAATAGGTTTTTATTGAAAAGAAATGCTTTCATTGTAGTTAAAGCAAGCATAGCATATAGCTTACCGTCTAAACCACGCAATTCAGTGGCTTTAATACATTTGCTAGGTTATACGGCCATCACTTCCATCAACTTCCAGAAAATCTTCATCATTCAGATGAGAACCTGACTCATTACACACTAACTCCCTCTGCCTTTTATGAAGAGGGATGCTGGCACAAGCCATAGCATCAGCCAAGAGATTCTGGTCCATATTTCAAATGAATTGTTCATTTCTAAACAAATCATTAATATTAAAATGATGCTTCCGGTTACTCAATGTTAGCGTGACCACATTTTCTGGATGATGGCATAGCCCCCTGCTTTAGCACTGGACCACATCCATCCCTAAGACTGATTTATTTTCATGTTTTAAAATCTATTTACGGGCCCGGCGCGGTGACGCAAGTGGTTAAAGGTCCTCGCCTTGCACGCCCGGGATCCCATATGGGCGCCGGTTCTAATCCCGGCAGCCCTGCTTCCCTTCCAGCTCCCTGCCTGTGGCCCGGGAAGGCAGTCGAGGATGGCCCAAAGCTTTGGGAACCTGCACCCATGTGGGAGACCCGGAAGAGGCTCCTGGCTTCGGATCGGCATAGTATCAGCCCGTTGCGCTCACTTGGGGAGTGAATCATCGGACGGAAGATCTTCCTCTCTGTCTCTCCTCTCTGTATATCCGCCTTTCCAATTAAAAAAATAATAAAAATAAATCTTTAAAATCTATTTACTTGAAAAGCAGGTGACACACAGAGACAGAAAGATAGATAGATAGATAGATAGATAGATAGATAGATAGATAGATAAAGAAAGAGAGAGAGAAAGAAATGTGTTCCAATCTTTTCATCTGCTGAGCCACTCCTTGAATTACTGCAATGGCCAGGCTGGACCAGACTGAAACTGGAAACCAGGAATGCGATCCAGGTCTCCTACACGTGTGCAGGGGCCCAAGCACTTGGACCATCTCCTGCTGTCTTTCCAGGCTCATTAGCAGGGAACTGAATCAGAAGCGGAGCAGCTGGGACTCAAACTGGTACTCTCAACCAGTTATTACTGATAGTGGCTTAACCCATGGCACGATGACACTGGCCTCACCACTGCCCTTTTCACTGAGACCCTGTAGTTGTCTTGCCATCTCCTATTTTGCAAAAAGAGGGTCCCTTTATGCAAACCCATCAACCCCTATAACTGCTGCAGTGTGTGTTTAACCCTACATGACGACAGTGGATCATGTCGGCAGCTTCTTCGTAATAGGCAACAAACAGACTCCCTAAACGATCATAATTTACTCTGCCAAGAAGCATGCCCAGGTGCTTCTCCCAAGTTCCCTGAGGAGAATCAGTTCTCATTTTAGGCTCTGGAAATTCCCTGGATGACTCTTAAAATGGAGAGGCAGGATCCCTCTAGCCAAGGTTATACACACGAGGTTCTGTTCTTCCTCCCTCTGATTCTGTGATCTGGCTAGAAATGGCAACTTGACTCAAAGTGCAGAATGACTAGGTTTACCTCAAAAGGCCCAGAGAGCAAGGGCTCAGTACACAACCCAGAACAACCCAGAACAGCCCAGAACAGCCCAGAACAGCACCTGGCTCTTCCGTTTCCCTCTCTCATCACCATCACCCTGGCACATGCCAGCAAGCAGAGCTTGCCCACACCCTTCCATAGGAAACAGTCGCTGGAGACACACGGTCTTGGTCAGGCGATGGCCAGCAGTGGTAAGATTTACCTCTGGGACCCTGTGGGCTGGCCAGGCAGGGCACCACAGGAGGCACCAGCGATGATAAGAACAACAGGGGTTGGGGCCCGGCGTGGTGGCGCAGTGGTTAAGGTCCTCGCCTTGCACGCCCGGGATCCCATATGGGCACTGGTTCTATCCCAGCAGCCC